TCTGGAAACAGGACCTCCCAACCCACTCTGAGCTAAAGTCCCTCCATGTTCCAGATGTGTAAAGATAATTCAAAAGTCACCACCAAAGATGAAGCCTTGGCCATGGTACTTCCTCACTTCCATATGCTACATGATCATTATTTGAGTCACTGGGCTACAGGAAATGACAACCTCCAGTCCCTACTGGCAAGGGGCACATCTCATCATCTCTGAACCACTCAGATCCCTGAGAACAGCTGAGACCTCCACAGAGGCTTGCCCATTGGTATCATGAGGCTGGTCAGCACTGCCAACTTTACCAATATTGTGGCCTAAATTAAGTTTTTAGATAAAGCATTCCAAATGAAAAAGGTGAGGATGGGACAAGTGTGGGAGAACAGATGTGGGTTCAATGCACTAAGCTGAGGAACAGGAGGCAAGCAGAAAGTGTAGAACCCCTTCTGGGTATATCAAGAATATACCCTCAATTTTTAGGTGACATCACCGCCAGGAATTTATAATCTTATGCTCTTTAGCCACTAAATTCTTACAAGTAAAATAACAAAAATCACCAAGAAATAATAACTTACCTTGGCAAGTTTCTCTGGTGTGGAGGAGACGTGCAGCTGGGAAAACAGCTCTGTTATCTCTTTGGTAAAATCTTCATCCCCTAAAAAACCAAGCCTCATATAAAACACTCAAGAAAGACTGCTGAGGATCACAAGAAGGAGGGCAAGGAGAAAGAGGAGAGGGGCTGAAATAGGAGTAGCAGCAATAACAATAGCAGCAGCAGCAATTTACATGAGCATGGTGCTTTAGTACTTACAGAACCCTTTTATGTATATTGTATCAATAAATGTTTCAATGAGCTTGTGAGAAAAGTGTCATTATCCCATTTCAGAGATGAAAAAATGAGAACCTGAAGATGTTAAGTGACTTCCCCAAGATCTCATAGCAAAGATTAGGAGTCAAACCTTGGCCCTCCCACTCCCAGTCCAAATCCTAGGCTTTCTGCAGTACAACTCAGAGCATAAATGCGGAAGCAGTGATGGCAGAGTACTAAGCAGGTACTGTGCATGTGCTTTTAAGGAAGTGGAACTTAAGTTGGGACGTGAAAGATGAGTACAAATTAGCCAGAAGAATGGGAAGAGTTTCGGATAGAGAAAACATGTACAAAGAGCCAGAGGTGAAAGAAAGCATGGCAAGTTTAATGTGGTTGAGAATGTCTGATGTAAGGAGGAGAATAGGGGTGGAATGAAGCTAGAAAGGTAAGCTCCAAATAACAAAGGGCCTTATAAACCACAGTAATTCAAATTTCATACTAAGGGAATAAGGAACCACTGAATGGTTTTAAACAGAGATAGACATGATCAAATTTAAATTGTAGAAAGATCATTTTGGTTGCTGGGTGGAGAATGGATTAGAAGGGGAGCAAGAAGGAAGGCAGGAAGGCTGAGGCAATAATGCAAAATCCAGGTAAAAGATAATGGTGGATAAGAAGAAAAGAGAAGGAAAAGGAAGTCCAGAATGCTGGAAGGATGGTAAAGAAGCTGCTGGAGTTAGCAGGGTAAGAGATAATGGGGAACATGGAACACCTATGATACTTGAGAAACACACAAGCGAATGGGTAACTCAAGTTCAAAAAACAATCAACACATCCAAACAAATGGCAGGAAATGCTCTCTTTCCCTCTCCACTCATCTAAATCCTACTCATTTCCCCCTTTGAGGCCTAGCCCAAGGCTTCTTTACAACACAGAACGCAGAAGAACCTTGTACACTGAAACCTTCTAGCACTTACAACCTACATGAGTATTTCATAATTCACCAGTTCATGGCTTACCAGGGCAAATTATTTCTGCTTCATACATGGCATCCTTCCCAATATCCCAAGGGGAAAAAAAGTATATCTTGGCTCTTCTCTCTCCATCCACTATCCTTTTGTCCCTCTCTCTTTGTGTTTATGACAAAGAATTCAAATGGTTTAGTGATCTCAGGTATCATATGGTTTGGGAAAAGCTGATCTTACTAACTGATACAATTGACCTACATAACTCATCTAAATAATTCCTAATAATATCCTACTATCTGAAATATAAAACTTGACTATTAGGTAGGCATTTTGTCTTCCTAAATA